TTCCCCCCCCCCCCCCCAGGCCCAAGGCTGAAGCACCAGGCAAGGTGGCAGCCCAAGCACCTCACCCAAGGCAGGCAGTGACTCCTCACTGGATCATAGAGCCTCAGGGCCCCAGAATTAGAAGTGGGGCCAGAGGCAGGAGTATGGGAAGTGGCAGGGATGGGGGAAGCAACAGAGCTCGCTGGGCACCCTGAAGGCTGTTCCCCACCATGGCCACTGTTTCCCGTTCTGTCTCTGCTGAAGCTGGGGAGGCAGGATAATAAAGAGAGACATGATGTCACTCTGTCATCCTGCAAGTGAGAGAAACTACATGTACACAGCAGCATTATTTTGGAACATCCGTTATTCCAAACTAACAAAGAGCAGGTCTACACTGCAAGCCATTATTTCAAAATAATGGTGAGCTGAAGGACTTTACTCCAACTCCTGTAATCCTAATTTTACGGCATTTAAGGGAAGTCCAAGGAAGAGAGCTCCTCCTCAACTTGCTGCGGTCAAGCTAGCACCAAAAGACGAGTTAAGCTGTTTCAACTTCAGCTATGCTGTTAACGTAGCTCAAGTTGCACTTCTGCTCTATTATGTAGATGTACACAGAGAGATGAGTTTGTGGGCAAATCTACAAAAACCTCTCTCATATATTTGTTAGTCTCCAAGATGCAACAGGACTACTTGTTTTTAAAGTTACAGACTAACGTGGCTACCCCTCTGAAACTTTTAAACTTTCTATATAGTACTTAGATAGCTAAAGCACCACAAGTGTGCATATTAACCCTTATATTGTTCTGGTAAACCAGGGAAAGCATCATCTCCATTTAATAGGGGAGAGAAACAGACTGAGGGTCTAAATTACAGGCAACTCCAACTGAAGTTACTAGCTACGAAACTCACACCTGGGGGGAGGGAAAAGCCCTCTTAAGTGACGCTGAAGGACACAAGTTGTCCGGGACAAACCCAGAGTTAGACCATAAGTTACAAAAACTCCACTATTCTGCTCTGCTTCCAGTTTTGCTAGCTTCAGTAATTATTGAAGTTTCTCCTTTGTCCCACTTAGAGTTTTAAATGCAGTAATTTAATCTACCTTGTCAGTTGGTTGATGTAGTATAGGCAGCCTCTCTTCAATTTTGTCCAGTCCTACACATGCATAGCTGTTGGCAACTGCAACTAGAGAAGTTTTAAAAATGATGAGGTTGCTCTTGTAGTGCTTAAACCACTCGCCCCCAAAGCTTAAGATTAACCACCACGTTTGTTGCGACAGGAAAAGCCAGTTCTAACCAAAATGTTTTTTTTTTTTTTTAAAGAAGTAAGACTAAACAAACGAGATTATGCACTTGAATTCTACAAAACATTTGACAATTTTTTTTTTTAATTTTATTTATTTATTTTTTTTTTAAAGAGGGAGTGACCTGTCAGCATACCAAGGACATGTCTCTTGGCATTTGCCAGTTCCTAGAAATAGGCTCTGAGCTAAAACCAGAGCAAGCAGCCATGAAACAGTTGACAAATTTATAACTGCAAGTAGGTGAAAGGGAAGTATGATGCAGAGCTCAAAACTGGGTGAAGGGTTAGGCCAGAAGTTGAGCAAGAAGCTTCTTACTCAAGCAGTTATCCTAGAAGTCAAAGTTCATGACGAACAAGTTATTACAAGCTTAACTGCAATAGTCACTTGACATCAGACTATTTTTATAAGAGCTCATATTTGATAAAGTATGGCTTTCTGTACAAACTAAGGGAAGTTTTTACTTATCACGAACATGCAGAAATCCCCATTCATTAGAAGAATCCAGATATTGTGGGCTATAAATCAAAGAGATTATGCTGTAATAATTTAGAGATAGAGAAACTAAGCTTTAGGTACTACATTCATCAGCTGAGGTACCAGAGAAGAGTGAAAGGGATGGTCAATTAAATAGTTATCAGTTTCTTGTAGATTAACTTACATAGTGCCCCCAAATTCTTGTATCCACACCATTACCCACAAAGCATAAAATGCACAGAAATAGTTATTGCTTACTCTGCGGCTCCAGCTTCTGGATGATGGGCATAGCACTCGTCATAGCCACTGCACTGATGGTCTTCACGCCTTTTTCTGCTATCTCACATACCGATTTCAGGTAGGGATGGTTATCTTTTGTGTTGACATATGCAGAGGACACCATGTCATAGGTGGAACTCACCAAGGGAAGCTTGGCAACCCTGGCTACCACATTCTGTGTGAACAGAGAGCGAAGGTTAAACTCACTTCCTTCTCGGTTACGTGACACAAACGGTCAACTCATACATACCTGTTGTGAGTCAGCTGCTACTAATGCCATTTTTAGTTCTTCCAATCTTGTAGATCCTACAACAAGATGATCCAAATTAAAATTCATTAAGTCCAATAGCCAACCACCATTCCATTTTAATCGAAGCTAGAATTTTTTTTCTTTGGAAGAAAAAGACAATCTTTTCTTCGGAAGAAGAAGAGTCTTTAGGTACACCAGTGCACCAATCCCTTTCATGAGAAAGATCCAGACAACGTGGGCTGAAAGGAAATAGACCACACTGCAATAATTTAGACAGCTAACATTTAGTTTCGCCATTATTTTCACCAATTCAGGTACTAAACAGAAGCGTAAAAAGGATGGTCAACTATTTAGTTTGAGAGGTTTGCAGCACACAAATTTTCCATCAATTACTTTGTTGAATTGATAGCAATGGGCCTAATCTATGTTACCTCATTTGGATGCATCGTCCATACGCAATTAGACATTTGAAGAGTTACAAGTTGTGGGTATAGGCAGGAAGACTCCAGATAAGATGAAGAACCTTCAGCTGCTTTTCACTAATTTCAGATATCACTAGATTAAGTTTGTCAACTCCACAGAAGAGAACCTTGAAAAAGCTCTGGAATCTGCCTATCACTAAGGCCTAAAATCTTCCAGACACATACACATGTTCTCACTTTAGGTACACAATTAACTTGTGTATTGTTGTTATTGGGATTAACTGTGTTTCTGAAAGATCAGATTCTGGTGTACATGTTGCTATACGATAGCTAATGTCATCCTATCTCCTACAAAGGGATTTAAAATGAGGCATAAAAATAAATTATTGGCATGGTGTGGTCTTTATAGATGGCATCTGTACCTGTTTCCTTACCCACCTGCACAGGAAGGGGAGCAAGTTTCAGCCTATAGCATCTAAGGCACAGACTGCAGGTCATTTAAGATGGGCCATATGTGCCAACATCCTGCTCACCATATTGGCTTGCCCTAGAATGCCCCTATCCTAGGTACAGGACAGGGTTTCCCCCATGGCAGAGAATCTTGAATTAATATTGGCAGGATAAACATTTATTGACAAATCACATTGGATTGTAAGAGGCTGCAGAAAGCAGCTGTCACACCCAGTCCCAGTGATCCTGCTTCTCCAGACTTCAAGGGCTACAGAGATGATATTGGTGGTCTTTCCACACAACACATCTAAATTGCCCAGGTTTTCATACCGATCAACGGAAGTAGTAGAAAATTCATTTAGGGCTGCATATACCAGAACTTCTGAACAGACTTATGTGTAGTGCTGGGGAGGAGCCGGTGGTCGTGGTACATGTAGGTACCAATGACATAGGGAAGGGTAGGAGAGATGTCCTGGAGGTCAAATTTAGGCTGCTAGGGAAGAGACTGAAATCCAGGACCTCTATGGTGGCATTCTCAGAAATGCTTCCAGTTCCATACGCAGGGCCAAGTAGGCAGGCGGAGCTTCAGAGTCTCAATGCGTGGATGAGACGATGGTGGAGGGAAGAGGGGGTTAGATTTATTAGGAACTGGGGACACTTTTTGGGGAGGGGGAGCCTATACAGGAAGGATGGGCTCCACCTAAACCAGAGTGGAACCAGACTGCTGGCACTAAACATTAAAAAGGCCGTAGACTGCTTTTAAACTAAGAGATGGGGGAAAGCCAATTGGTGCGGAGATGCACGTAAATCGAAGGGAGACTTCTCTTAGAGGAGAATCCATTGATAGAGATTCTCTAAGCTGTAGTCAGAAAGAGAGGAGGGAAGAGGACAAACCATGGGCCAGAGCAGAC